TTTTTTTTAAAAAAAAAAAAAATTTCCATCACACTGTCTTTTGGTGTCAATCAAAAGTACCTTTTTAAGAAAGGATCTTTCTTTAAATCTTCAAGAAGCTTCGATCCATCTGAATTGGATCTTTGCTCACCGAAAAGATTGTGAATTCTGTCTTGTGTAGATAGCTCAATATCAACATCCCTTAGACACCTCAGGTTCAACAGCAAACAAGAGCCTGTCACTAACACCACATGCCCCCCTTGATGCTTGCACGTTCTGGAACAACACCAAGTAACTGGACCACGCTAGAAAAAATTAACTATGTACTATACCCTGTTCAAATTTCTTGCTGACGGGACGGTGAAGCCACCATCCACCATGGCCAAGATATCGTTTGGAGATGCTCAGTCAAGCTCTGTCTCCGTCTCTGACTATGTAAAACGCTTGTGTTCATTGGCAAAGTCTCAGAGATACAAGCAACATGGAAGTTAGCAATACACTTGATGATGCATACTGATTGCAAAGCTGTGCAACCCATCCATGTTGTGTTATGTTTCCTTTACCGCCTCTTCGTCTTACGGCCCCGTTCTGGCACGATAAGGGATAATTTGGTACGTATACAGTAGATCTTTTTCTCCCTAAAGTTGCGGTGGGTGGCATCATGAAGGCCCAGACTGTGCTCATCGTCGATACCTAGCAACACAAAGAGTCAATGATGAACAAATTTTGGTGGCCGGTCCGTGTCTGAACCAACAAGACCGAGTCTTTCTCAATCTCAACGAAAAATTGTTCATGAAAGTGTGGTCCCGTGATTGTCAAAATACGTAAGAGCGACAGGGTTCTTGGCCGCCTGGAAAAAAACTACCAGGTACCTCGAACCCCACCATCTTCAGGTGACTGATGAGGTACCGCTGAACCACTGATGATGAATTGCCCCGCAATCTTTTTGCACTGCTACCCCGGACTTTTTCATCAAACATGGAAGTTGCGTCTTCAATCAAGTAAAATGGGGGTAATGAAAACGTCCTTTTTGCGATAATGCAGTTTCTGAAGATGCACGGGACCGGCCCGCGTTTACGGATTCAGCAGTCCGTCTTGTTCTTTGTTACAATCCAAGGATTCCAAAAAAATCTTACAAGACGGACGAACAACAACACAGACGCTAAGGACGGAGATGCTGGCGCGGAACCCACTTGGGATCTTGAAATCTGGTTGACCGCTGCTATGCCGCCATGCCCGGCTGGTAACTATTCAACACCGGCTTTGCTTGGATGGAATGTTTCCAAAGTCACATTGCTAAAGTAAATTTAGACGCGGAAAAAAGAGATTTCTGATGTCCTCGTGGCGCGTAGCCGTGTATCCCCGGCCGGGCTTGTGTGGACTGGGTTAAGGTCACGGGTTCAAGCTGGAGATTTGGTGTCGCTCGGCGCCCGTTGACAAGTCTTGCAGTTCATCCCTGCCAAGACAATTGCATCTGGCCCAGCCCAGGGGGAGACTCTGGGGAAGCCGAACCAAACACTGCCCCGCGAAAGCCCCGCCAGTACGGATCCCGAAGACATCGTTGATCACCGGGAATCCATCACCTGCCCAATAAACACACCGAAGAGACGACGAATCTAAATCTGAGACTTTCAACAAACAAAGAACATTTGCCCCTTCTTTGCTGAGCCAAACCGACACTCCATCTTTCGCTTCTTCGCTTCTTCAGAGGTCAGCTGATCATACGGAAAACTGTGTCTCTCCAGATTCCTCGGCGGCGCCTCTCGGACGGATCTTTAATGTTGATAAGTTTCTGTTCGGGAAATGCACAAAGCATACATCCGATCTGACATGCACTCCATCAGAAATGTGCATTTCGACATTGATGATCACGCTGAGCTCATCTCATCCGGGCCCTCAGGGTGCATGAAGTTGCGGAAGGCATTACCTAACCTTTGGAATGCCAAGATGACGACACAGCACTCATGCGGAGTCGCCATTCCGATCATTGGCCCGGATCGGGTGCGGGGTGGGTCAGCGGCACAACCGGGCCTTGGACGGCGAAATCCCGGTGTCCCGGATGATGTAAGGTCAGGAGATGTTTGCAATATTTTACTCCTCACCAATGCAATCCTGGATGGAAACATGATGCAACAAGCCAAGCGGCTCAGCCCTACAGTTACCCAGGGTATCTCCTTCCATGACTTTGTATCGCCAAGTATCTCTCTCTTCTGCCGATGTCTTTTCAGCATGATAGACAAGACGGGATGGTTGTCACCACCCTCCTTGATCCTGCAGGATCGGAAGATTCCAGACACCCAAGTGGCTGTCTGCTAGGATGGCATCATTTGTCATTTTGACAGCCGTGTTTCTATTATTCACATTTAATCTCTGGGCTTCATCTCCGTGACCATCTCTTCATTTTGTGCAACATTGTGCTTCGTCGAAACGAAACAGTCACACAACTAGGACGCCGTCAGGCCGAAAGTGACAGACCATGCGGATATGTCCTAATTACCTGAAATAGATGCGTCAAAATCCTCAACGCATCTAGCCATCTAGGCCATACTTTCAGATCACAATCGTCGACCCAAGGCAAGGTTATGAGGTAATGCAGACCCGGCCACAGTTACAGTCACAGAAAGGAAGGTGTTGTGTCTCATCTTGGCAGGCACTCACACAGAGTGACATTTAGATCGAAGTGTCGAAGGTTCCATCTAGCTTCTGTCGAGTCCCGTTGGTTGCCGCAGGTCTCCACTTTCGGCGAGCGGCAAAGCGGCACAAGAAAGTTGAAACCGCCCCTCTCAGAACTCTGCCGGGGCGGCGATGGAGGGGCAGAGGGGGAGATTGTTGGAGGGGTAGTCAATTGGTTTCTCTTCCCACTCACCATCTGGACTTATGATCACCGAGTTGTAAGCCAAGGCTGAAGAGTGACCTATGAGAGATTTATATTTGCAGAGACTTACTGAGAGCCTATTTCAATTTCTGTTTCACAAAAGACACAGAGAAATTGAGTCTGTTGGTTTTTGCCAAAGTTCCTACCAATACCCCGCAGCTTTCTTCGATTTGCCGAAGTGTGAAGGAAGCTCAAGCTGCAACTCCAATTGCCAAAAACTTGCTCACCACCTCAGTCACAGTGTCACAAGACACACCGCCAAAAGATGAGCAGCTCGACTTCCGTGACATCCGACGCCATCGAGCGAGCTGCGCAGCTCGACAAGGATGATGTCCTCGCGTTTACTCGCAGCGAGTTCAACATCCCGACCAAAGCACAGATCGCCAGTACGCGGTTACCCGATTCATCAACAGGTCTGTTGTGCAAGTCTCAACCTTTCATCTGCATAGGGGGCTAAATCCGTCATGCAGCTTCCACGACATCCGACAACCCCGACGATAACAGCAACTCCAAGTGCATCTACCTTTGCGGTAACTCTCTAGGCCTCCAACCGAAGAGGACCCAAACTCGCATCGGCCAGTATCTTTCCACATGGGCTACGCAAGGTGTCCAGGGGCACTTCAAGCCCCTCGAGAACTCACCTCTCCCGACATGGCTCGATGCTGATGACGGCGCCGCCCAGCTGATCGCACCCATTGTGGGCGCCTCAGTCTCTGAGGTTGCCGTTATGCAAACTCTCACGGCCAATCTGCACCTCCTCATGTCGGCTTTTTATAAGCCGGATATCAACGGCAGGCACAAGATCATTCTGGAAAGCAAAGCATTCCCCAGTGATCACTTCGCAGTCGAGACACAGCTCCGTCACCACGGTCTTGATCCTGCCAAATCAATGATCACACTCACTTCACCTACATCCCAGGACAACATCCTCACCACAGAGGAAATCATCTCTGCTATTTCGACCCACGCTGATTCTACCGCTTTACTTCTCCTACCCGGCATCCAGTACTATACAGGGCAACTGCTCGATATTCCAACAATCACTTCTTTCGCTCGGTCAAAGGGAATCTTTGTGATCTGGGACTTGGCCCATGCTGTAGGCAATGTCCCCCTGTCTCTCCATGACTGGGGCGTGGACGCAGCGGCCTGGTGTTCGTACAAATATCTGAACGGCGGTCCAGGTTGCATAGGCGGTTTGTTCGTGCACGAACAAAACAGCACCGTGCCAGTTCCGGAGAGCGATGATTATCAGAATCGTCTGGCGGGTTGGTGGGGAAACAGCAAGTCGACGAGGTTCAGGATGGTCAATAAGTTCTATCCCGTAGAGGGTGCGGCTGGATTTCAACTTAGTAACCCCTCCATTTTGGATATTACCTCCCTGTCATCATCCTTGGAGGTATTTGGACTTGTAGAAGGCGGTATGAAGGGGTTGAGAGAAAAGAGCTTGAAACTTACAAGTTTCTTGGAAGAGCTGCTGGACGCCATGCCCGCAGAGGAGAGGGAGTTGTTTAGGATTATTACTCCCAGGGATGAAAAGCAGAGAGGAGCACAGTTGAGTTTGATGTTGAAGGGCGGACTACTAGATGGTGTGATGGAGGAGTTGGAAAAGCAAGGGGTTATTGTTGACGAGAGGAGGCCGGATGTGATTCGGGTCGCACCGGCTCCCTTGTATAACAGTTTTGGGGATGTGGTGAGGTTTGTGGAGGCTTTTGGAGGGGCGTTGAGGGGTGCTTCTCGGAGATAGTATTTTTTTCTTTTCCTCTGGCGAGTAAAGATGTAAATAAAGCAGAAGAGCAAGAAGATGAGACAGTTTGAATACATTTGTTGTTTCGTCTTGCAATGTTATGGACGCGGTTGTGTTGTGAACCAGATGTTTAGAGCAGGTTAGTTACTTTCAGAAATAAATATAAAATTCCATCTAATTAAAGTAGAACACTAAAAGAGAGGGAAAAAATTGTATACACATTTTATTTCTTGTAATGTTTTGTTTATGGAAAAGAGAGTTTTTATTATGTTTCATTTGTGTTGTAAATAGGGGTGGTTGTTGTGGCTTGTTGCTGCCGAGAGGATGTATGTGTGCATGTGTATGTATACCAAGGGAATTATCGAACAGCACATTCAACAAATTACAACAAAGAGCAAAACAGCCCGGCTAGCGCAATGGTAGCGCGTAAGACTTCTACTTTCTGTTCTACCTTTCTTCTCTCTTATCTGAAAGAAATTTAAAGGAAAAAGTGCAATCTTAAGGTTGCGGGTTCGAGTCCCGCGTCGGGTTTCATTTTTACATTATCTTAACTCTTGACTCGAGTATGAATTTTTATTTTTATATTTTTTATGGAGACTGAGCATTTCGCGGTTTTTGTCTGGCATATATATTTCTTGGAACGTTGTGAACGGAATAAGTGGTTTATTTAGGTCGGGGCTGGCTGAGTGATAATGGTATAAGTAAGGCATTTGGGATTTACGGACAAGATGAAAAAATCTGTCAGGATGGATTGTTTAGTAAACTGTTTAGGAAGTTTAGAAAAGTTGAAGAAAAACAAGAGGCAAGAATTTGATTAATTATACAGTAAATAAAAATAAAAGGTACGGTCCGTATTCTGAATAATTGTGACTTTGTGGAGGTAATCTCGAGTTTGTCAAATCATGATGATGATGGTAATGATGATGCTGTACTTGGTTGGTATGACGATGTGGAACTTCCTCGAGAGATCCTGATTTGTTCGATGATTGACTCAGAATTAGATCCACGTTTTTAAAGTCAATTGGCGAGAATGAAGGTAGGAAAGAGGCTTCAACTCTGTTCATTATTACTATTTTTCCATCCCTCAAGCGTCAATATCAAGAAACGACCAGCTATAAAAGGCTCTGAAGTGGCTCTTCGACTTAAGAGTGAAAATAATAGTAACTTTTGTTGGTTTGGCATTGTTGGGTCTATGAATTTATGTGTGGCGAGTGAATAGGAGACCTCTCTCTTTTGTGTGAGTTTGAGATGGCCTTTGTTTTGATACTACCCATGAATTTTTCACGTTGGCACTTGATGCTCAAAGAAAAAAAGCTTAACCTTCATAATTTCACGAGCATTAGGGGCTGAGAAAGTCTCTATTTGGTAGATCAAGTGAGCCCAAATGATAAACCACTCCCAGGTGTGTTTTTTGAACGAATTTCAAGGCATTTTCTCCGGAGCCATCCATCCTGACGATACTTGGAACCGAGGTCGAGACTTACTACCTCACTTTAAATATGTTATGATACATATAGAATTTGCTTATTGACTCTTTGCTCGGTTTAAAGTTATATTTTCACTCTCTTGATGAGTTGCTTGTTTCCTGAGATAGAACCCTCTGTAGGTGAATGCTGCGCCGGCTTTGTCAGGCAGTTTGTTTACATCCTTGATGGACACAGAGAAGAAGATGCTTTTGAAATTAGGGTTTCACCTGTAAATAACACTGATAGAGAAGATGCAAATCCCTAATACATGTGTCAAAGTTCGACACCGTTTTAACGCGATGGCGTTAGGTTCATGACCCCAACAGACTACTTTTTTGCTCTTTACTTTTTCCCATCGTATCTTTCCATCTTCACCTCTCTATTCCTGGTTTATGCCACAGTAAGCTGGTAGGTATTTGTTCAAAGTACATTTAGTATGTATGAACATTTTGAGATGAAATACATTCGGTGATCTTGTACCTTATCTCCGCCCACCCACTTCACCATTCTCACCTCTTTCACCCATATCAAACCTCAGTATCACCAGGCATATCCAATACTCAACTTGAAACTCCCATTCACAGCTCTCTTCTCCCTCTGTGTGTCCTTATCCAGGAAACCTGTCACAACCATCTCTCGGCTCAGGGATAAAACGCTACGACAATTATGCCGCACAAGGTGGATATCAGCATCTGCTAATTTTTCCGTCAACCTCATGACAGTCAGCTTTCAAGTTCTCCCGGAATCATGCATACGAGGAGCAAGAAGAAATGGTTATGTGCACTCCCCTTATATTGTTTTACCGTCTTTATGTGGCGCGGAAAGTACACAGAAGTTGGCCATTACATCTATACCTGTTGCGTTAAAGCAGTCCCTCCCTGGTCGAGACCCGATCATACTGCGTGACCCAGTGTATTTAGTGACATATGGGGAGACAAACGTTGGCACACAGCACTTTTTTCATGGGAGTTATTACTATTGAAGTAAGCCAGAGCCTGTCGGAAGACAGTCTCATACAAAGATCACGTAGACCTAAATACCCAGTCAGTCAGCCAGTCAGTTGGCAGGACCCCGGAATCCCCTTCAGCTCGGAAGAAACTAGATGTAGATTATCCTCTCCCTCGTATAAACCCGGATTGGTGACGGCTATTGACTTGGAAACTGTTTTTTAATGCCCAGAGTAAAACCTCCACAAACCTTGACCAAGGCCACTTTTCCACGGAACCACATACAACATGTATCATCAGATATCCTCACTCCGCAATTCCTGCGCGCTCTCGTATCCATACACGTTGAAACCCCGCCTATCCTGTCGTCCCAGAGTCAGGAATTATTTAGTCCTAAACACAATATCCATACAACTCTGCATGACAAACTATCACAAAGACCGGAAAAATAAAAAAATAAAAAATAAAACCCCAGATTTCCCAAGCAGGTTGAGTGAAGGGCCAGCAACCAACCGACCCGCCGGGTATCAAGCCTCCTCCTCTTCCTCCTCACGAAACACCATCCGTCACACACAATCCACGGGGAAAAATTTCTCGAATAAAGCCTGAGCCGTGTATGTATGTATGTACATGCCACCACTGAACCGATTTCTTCCTCTACTACCTTACTACCTACGTAGTAGAACGCAGGGAAGGGAAAAAAACAGATTCAGGTGTATATAAACACAATATCCGAACCGATTTAAACTCTATTTCCTCGGTGACCGCTTACAAATCTTCAAGGGAACTCGAGAATGCAATCAATATACATAACCGCAAAAATGTCATGTCAATATTTTAGGGGGCTTTCAACTTTTTACCTGAGCAAAATACTATCAGTCAAGTATACCCACGCCACATAGAATCACGGTTCTTCTCTACGTACAAGAATCCCTAAATAAGCGGTATATATCATTGAGGAAGAAGGAAGATGAAAAAAAAAATTCAAACCACGTGCTCGCCCACCACCTAAACGATGGAAGAATATTTCTCCCCCCCCCCCCCCCCCTACCTATACCATCCAATTAGAATGTCTTTGTAATAAATTATCAAGCGGCTGCTGCTATGACGGCTTTTGAACAGATATACGGAACCTGTTGACTGACACCTTTGTCGGGTTAAACTCAGCCACAATGCTTTCAAGAAAGCATACAAGTTGATTCGTCATGCTAGCTTATTATCATGACCGGTTGACTTTGTCGTTGAAACGGCCGAGAAGTCCGATGGGAGCCAACTGTTCTCAGCAGGGTTCTCAGCCGGTACCTTTGATATAACGGGATATCATCATGTAAAGAGGCGAATGTAAGTTTCTGCTCTCCGGACTGAAAGGTTTAGCCGTTCCCTCGAAAAAAAAACGGGAAACAAGTAACGTTGCAGATCAACCACAGAAAATCCAAAGCGTCCTTTCTATTCCCTTTATTTGTATGGGGAGGTGTCCACTCGTACCAACCGGCCTGAAATGACAGTATCCTCCTTTCCCGGTTCCAAAACACCACCGGTGGCGGCTTGATACGACATTTCATCTCATGTAGACACATAGACACACGAAACTGGCAAAAGCCATTGCTATATAGTGCCACAAAATTCCCGCAGGGTATATGTGAGGGTGTGGACCAAGGCAAATAAACAAGCCTTTTGCTTGTGGTCCCAGGAACCCGGAGGACCTCCCATATTAAAGCAGGCAACGAGAGAAGCGGTAACCCATCCAGGCAGGTATTGTACACATACCTTTTAGCAAACAGCCTTATATACACACCCTTGCTCACCCCGGTCAATTGTTCAACTCCCGAATATGGAGAGTGCCAGCCAAGAAAATGGTTGAATTGGCAGGTGCCAGGTATTGGGATTTTACCCGGATTTCCAGACTTTTCGTCTCTCTCGTCTATCGTCTTTTCAGTCCGGGGTGTCCCCCAGATCTGTCAATTTGGTTATTGTTCGGTTAAGAGTGGTGTGGGGACAGGCGTGCTGGCAGTTGTAAACGGCAAAGGAATAGTCTGGACCTTGGTCTCTCTGTCTAGCCCCGAAGTTCGACCAAAGATGCGTATCAAAGGCTGAGTTGTCCCGTGTTTGATGAGCTTGAAGAGGAGAAAACCGACGAGATCCAAGGATCGGGATGATGACAGTTTCGTCTGAAGCTAGAAAGATCGACAGGACCTCTTCTCTTCTGCTTCTCCTCGGCTCGCCTCAGATGCAAGTCCGTTGGCCTAAACCGGATGGTGATTTTCGAACACATGATTAACCATCACCTGATGCCATACCGAAAGTTTGCCGTTCACCTGAAGAAGAGAATCTATGATCTTCACTCAACGATTGTTGAGAAGGGATTCCCGTTAGATTAATTACCCTATACCGGATATTCCAACAGGTTGGGATTGGAGGGAGAATAGCCGCAGTTTCAAGGTGGACATTTTCGCATACGGGAAAGATGCAGCCTGCAGCACAACATCTCGGTCCTTGCTTTCTCCAGCCCGGATTCTCGTAGTCGAGACGTCAGCGGTGTGGTACGGACTGGTATATCGCCTCGGAGGGAGCCGGAATTCGGGTTCTGCAAAAAATCATCGTGATGCTGCCTTCTTATGTTGACGGGATGTTGTCTGATGAAACACCGCCACACCCACCATGCCACACAAATTATTGGTCTAGATCGTCCGCTTCACCAGTAAATTGATGTTTGCATCCCAAAATGATCAGCACGAGCTGTACTGGATTTGATCAAGACTCTGGTCCCGCCTTTTTGTCAAGGCGATGGTTCGAAAAACTGCTTGAACGTTTTCAGACTAAGGGCTATGAGTCCCCGGCCGGAAAAAGGTAGAGACGGCGATGATCGGTTTCAACATGTAAGCTGCCTGCAGCCCCCAACCACATGAACCTGTGATATCTAAGCCAACAGTCAAATTCTCTTAGAATCCCTTGCAACTACCGGCACTTTGAGAGACCGGCACATAAGCTCTAGCCCAGCCAGCTTGTTATGACGGCACTCTGCTTAGTAGGTAGAGAGGCAACCAGTAGAACACCGTCATGCCGTTCTTTGTGAGCGTCGTTTGGGTTGTATTGCATCTGACTTGTGGAGAAGTTCCTT